TGTTGATTAGATGGTTTTGTGTGTGTGTGTGTGTGTGTTCGAGTGTGTAATTACTGGTCTCTAGTTTACTGCCAGCCTGGTGCATCTGTTACCTGACACCTTCAAAGCCTACAGATCCAAAGGAGTGGCGACCAGCAGCTTGTGAAACCAGATACACTTTGTATCCTCATCTGTTGTTTACTAGTTCTGCAAGCACATCCACAACACACAGCGCGAGGAGTCGCAGAACATCCAAACTCACTCACACTGAAGCTGTGTAAACAAAGTATTGTAAAAATGGATTGCAGTTTAAACTCTCCATGAATTTACTGTGCAATGTGTAATTAAACGTGGAGTGCTTTACTGGTGTGGACACTTGTGCAGCATCAGCCATGGCGACGCATGGTGCTGCTGCTGGGAGTCTGGCTCTATCTGAGCCAGCCAGCAGGGAGGACAGTGCGATGACTAGTATTTAGGCTGCTGTCAGGCCACTGTGCTGATAACAGTGTGTGGGAGAGACTGTGGAAATAGACTGTCAATCCTTCAATATAACTCCCATAACCACTGCAGCACCCAGAACACACACACACACACACACACACACGCACACGCACGCAGGAGGGGGTTGAGATAAAGTACAGGGGAGTTGTTGTTGAGCTTTAAACAGGCACTCCAAATATTTTCTGCCCCTTGAGGGTTTCAGACAAAGACGAAATAAACATGTTTTTTTCTCTGTGGTTTGGGACTGAACCACATCAACACAATGAAGTGCTACTGTGTGAAGCAAGTCTCTGATTATAATTAGGTATTTCAGGTTTGGGACACTGAGACTGAAAAGTCTTATTTTTGTAGCTTTGGCATTCCTGTTGTGGTGGCGTTTTACTCACCACCTTCACTACAGGGGTACAGCAGAGGTCTAACGCACACTGCAGCTGCGTATTGGTGAAATGTCGTATTGTTACCGGTGTTGGGGGTGCTCTCTCAATTAGGGTCTGTTCTAGTCAACTGCATTCTGAAACTAATGATAAAATAGGTTGATAAGTAGGTCTGTTGAATTGAAGAAGACCTCTAATGCAGAGGCTTTATTCTTGTGGAACCATTCAGTGACCCCTCATGTCCTCTGTAGGTCTGTAGGTATTAAAAATATGTTGTAAGGGGTAGGATCATCCAAACGAGGGGCTTATTTAAAGTGTGTCTGTTGGGCGGAAGCACGGCAATAACAAAACTTCAAAACACTGCCCTATAGGTCAGGTCCCTAAATTTCAGCAATGACATTGGCTAGCAGAATGTTATTATAGCCGACCAAGAATGATTACTGAAACTACAAAAATTGTGTAAAAAAAAAAATCCTTCTTGGAAGGTTAAAACCTTTAGAATCTCTTAATCGCTAAAGTTTCCCTGGACACAAGATGTCTCCTACTTCACTGTAAAGTCCATTCTCAGTTGATTTGCACTGGTGGCTTCAAGTTTCTACATCACACTGTACAAGTTGATACTGGACCGGGCCTAATGGGGCGTTCTATTTGTCCACCGAACTCGATCTGCGAGTCGGTTTCCTGAGTTACGAACCGGAAGTTGCAAACAGAACGCCCCTGAGGTCGCATATACGACTCGTCAAGTCGTCTGAACCCGAGTTCAGTTACCAAGATGGCTACTCCGAGCATCACACATAGTAAACATTGTGGTTTTCTACTATTTTAAGCACTTTTGTCTTTGTTCTAACCAAATGAAGAATTTGTACACATAGCACGGTATACTTTTACCTATAGGCATGTCGCTACAGTCTTATGTGTTAAATACGCCTAATTAGTTATTTTGTAGCCAGCATTTTGTACATCCTTCTAGAGTCAAACTCTGCACAGACATCATTCAAACAGCACACTGCGGCTGTGGCGCAGAGGCAGAACGGGTCGTCCCCTAATTGGAAGGTTGTTGGTTCGATCCCCTGCTCTTGATGACACATGTCGAAGTATCCTTGAGCAAGATACTGAACCCCGAATTGATCCCGATGCTGTGCATCGCTGTGTGAAAGGGTGAATGTGGCACATAGTGTAAAAGCGCTTTGAGTGGTTGGAAGACTAGAAAGGCACTGTACAAGTACAGGTCTATTTACCATTTACCACTTACCACACTGTGGGGACAAGGAGAAAAACATGTTTTTTGACTGGAGGGGGCTTTAACCAATGAGACAGTCTATCTCAAACTCTGTGTTTTCCTTTGTGATCCCAAGTTGATAAGGCTACAGCTTAACAGCAAATGCACTATGGTGGTGGCGCCCCATTAGAGGCAGCTGGTAAATCCTGTCCCAGGTCATAGAAGTGCAAAAGCTGGTAGAAGAACTTTGCCTGAATATAATGCAGTAAAAATGCAAAGTAGAAATTGCAAATTCTGGAGTCAACAAGAGTCAGAGCAGTCATCGGTTCCAGTTATTGACTGTGTGTCAAACTGTAAGAGAGCAGACCGATACCCTGCCACTGTAGACAAGAGCAAACAGAGATGTGTTTGTTGATAGTCTATGGCAGAGTCAGGGTGTGGTAGTATTCAGTGGCTAGAGGTCTATTGTTGTCTGATTGTGTCTTTGTAGGCCAGAAAGAAGCACACATACACACACAAATCTGTCTCGTGTTGACCCTGTTGCAACCAGAACGAGTGGTGGTGCACACTGGGCTGAGTGGCCCTGATCCTGCATGGGTAGAAGGAGGTTGTTTACTGTAGGGTGGTGCTACAGTGGGAGTGTATGTTTTTGTGTTCGAGAGCTCTATTTAAGTGTATTAATGGCAAAACTATCAAGTAAGCACCAAACAAAATTGATGTTGATTGATGCTGTTATTAATCTCCTAGTCAAGTTTTTAGATTCAGATGTTGAGAGCAAAATCTGGATTTTGATCTGCTATTGTTTCCTCAAGCTCTTTGCCCAGACTCTGAGCCCTGGAGCAAGTAACAACATTTTTGACTTTAAGACAGACTCGTATCTGGCTGTTAGAATCTTAATAGTTAAAGTATTTTAGACAAAGGAAACATTTTGAAACATATTTATAAATCATGAAACCCATGTAACTGCGTTGGAACCAATGGGACATTAGCAGGGAGAGTCTAACAGGATCTTTGAGATCAAATCCAACCATTCTCAGTTTTAATGAGTTTTGTTCATATTCTGCCTGCTCTGGAGTGAGAAACTTTTAAGATAGCACAGGAAGCCTTAAAGTCCTTCTATCCTGAGGCACAGCTCATCTCAGAACAGTGAACATCAAATCAGACTAAAATTTGTGACGCACACTCAGCAGCTTGGTCACTGAATAACTTCTTTACTGTTAGTGTACACACACACACACACACACACACAGAAACTATTGGTTGCAACCAGCAGGAGACTGATGGGGGCAGGGAGGTTGCCTATTGTGTTTCTAATGTAGCTGTCCGACCCTTGTATTGGAACAGAAGGAATGAGAGGTGCTCACACAGTACCAACCAACCCCCAACACACAAACAAACCTCCTGTTTTTTCCCAGCCTCCCTTGCCCTGCCATCGGGGGAGGAGGACATGTATGGGACCACTGGTGCGTTTTGATTGCACCACGACAGTTGGGATGAGTCATAAATCAAGCCCATGACCTGTCCCAGTTCCTAATCATCCCCCACATACACACTCCCACTTTGGCTTGGTTTGGACTGGTCGCACTGGGAATTGGCTGGGACAGTCATTACATGCAGATGGAGGGGTGAGGTGCAGCCCCTCCAGGTTTAGCTTTATGAGACGAGCAGGACATGGATTTTTCTCTCAGCGGAGAGAGAGAGAGAGAGAGAGAGAGAGAGAGGGCTGTGGGTTTTACCTCCTGGGGCTTGGTAGGACAGCCTGACATAACAGTGAGTGGGAGGTGTGTGCGTGTGTCAGAGGTTATGACACACACACACACTGACACCTCACCCAGCTTATCAGTGTCCGGGCAGCTGTGTACCTGACGCTGTGTAATCTCATTGATCCCATTACCAACATTGTTGAAGCAGTGCTCAGTCCTCATGGCTGCCTATGCTGGTGTCAAAAGGGCAGCTGGAGTTGGTTCAAAATATTGAACTGGTAGTGCTTAGAGGTTTTAAAGTAACACCACAGCATTTTGGGAAATATGCTCAAAACCCCACAACAGATGATCAGTTTTGTCTTTGTGTCTCTACTAAGGAAGTGACTGAATTATCTACATTATCCCAAATGTTTGTAACAATGTTTAATCCCAGAGAAATCTGTCTCTAGTTTCTATAAATTGGACTGAATGTAACATGAATAAAACTTTGATTTATCTTCTCAGTGAACAATTTTGATCAACAATGGTCGTTGTTTAACAGTATAGACAACAACTCCAATGATCCAACGCTACTTCATGACGTCAAAGTACTTTTGTTTTTTTAATGTGAGAGACAGAAACGACAGAATTAATACATATTATGTGTTTAAATTAAACGTTAACATCAGCATGCTAACGCTGATATATGATACCACTCACAGTGACAGTGCTAACATGCTCATATGCTCACAATGGCAATGCTAACATGCTCATATGCTCACAATGGCAATGCTAACATGCTCATATACTCACAATGGCAATGCTAAGAAAGATGGTTGATTTTTGAGTCTCCTAGGTGTTAAATACAGACACTGGGGCCCTGGGAATGACACTAAATGCACTATTAGAATTTTTATATTTTTCTTGACTGTGATTGGTTGTTTTTGTTTAGGCACAGTGGATTCTTGCAAATGTCATTAGAAGCACTAGGAAGAGCCAGAGGAACCTGATTGTTTCACAGATTATCTGTCTCTTTTCAAGATATAGTGAAAGTTTAAGCAAATATGACAAAAAGCTGTTTTTAGAAAAGTTACCTACTGCAGCTTTAATTTCGAACCCATGTAATGCCATGTAAATATTACCTTGTAAGATGCCAATTACCTGTGTCTTTGCGGTTAGAATAGCACGTCGTAGTTGTGACATTGATGAAGAAAATATCTTGTCTCCCCTCTTTCTGTGTAACAGGTTACCTCTCACCATTGAGTGCCACCCTCTCCTGTCATCTTTGCTCAAACCTGGCAACCCCCCTTCCTGTGAGTAGTTGTGGCCAAGGACTCTCCTCCCTCCTATCGTCGGTGGACCACAGTGGAAAAGGTCAGCTCTTTTTCCCAAATAGTGAAATATTTGGGGCTCTATCAGTAGAATATTCGTTGCAGAATTCCTGGCTGCTCTTCTCGGCTGTGAGGTGTTGTTTATCTACCTGTGTTCCTGCCTCCTGGCTAGATGAAAGCAAAGTGCTGGCTGCTGCCTGCCTTCCAAGGTCAGGTCACTCAGACCTTGTTTAGATGTGAATGATGCTTTGGGTGATTTCAGAGCAGAGGCAGTGGGTGTTGTTATCCCCTGCTTCCCAGTATAATGAGGTGTGTGTGTGTGTGTGTGTGTGTGGAGAGTGGAAGGTTGGTGACCCTTGTGCTGTCTGGACCACAATGATGAATGAGACTGTTAGAGTGGAGGTGTGAGATTTGACTGTGGATTTCTTTACCATCCCACACACACACGCACACACACACACACACACACACACACACACACACACACACACACACACACACTTTACATTACTCCTGCATGAATCTGTACATGTGGTGCTTTCTTTCTTTGTCCTCCTTGAAGTATCATTTACAGCCAGCACATTACTTTTCTCCTTCCATTTATTCCCTTAGTGTCTGGGAGCACGTACCATTTGAAAGTGTTTTGATGCAGATGCCAGTATAAGATAAGATAAGAGATAAGATATTCCTTTATTTGTCCCACAATGGGGAAATTCCAATGTTAAAGCAGCAAAGTGGATAGAGCAAAAACAGTATAAAAAATCAATAAGAGTAGGAAAATAATAAAAAATACTACTGGGAGCAGTGCTGGTTGTTAAACAGTCTGACAGCAGCAGGAAGGATGCATTAGTTTCAGTACTGATGCCAAAACAATGCTTTTTCACTATCTTGCACTCCCTTTCTGGGAATAAAATAAGCAAAACATCTCAAATGTATAAAATGGATGCAAATATCAGTAATTGTAGATAAAATATAGTATCAAATTGTGATTTAAATCAGGTAATATCTGATCTAAGAATGAGCACACATGACATGACAAACATTGCAGTGGTAACAGTTTTCAGCAGGGCTGGACTATAGCTCCAAGTATCAAAAAGATGGCTGGCACTGAATATCTGGGCCAGTATTTAGAGTTTCAGAGAACAAAATCAGTCCTAAATCAGGCCAAAAATCTCTAAACCTAAGACATGACTTTTATCTCAATATTCTAGTCAGCACTGATGTCCACTTCTCTAACATGTTAGCAGTTGCCAGGTGATGGCATACAGACAGTCACTCTGTGGGAGGAGGATGTTTTGGCAATGCTTGACAACAATGAGCTTATTAAAAGATGGTCAGAGAGAATTTGAATAATTTTGTGACTGCCAGAATTCAAGGTTATTGCAGCCTTTTTGGCAAAAACCGTGGCTTTGCAACAGTGATGATTTGGAGGAAGGAACAATTTTGGTGGTTGTAAATCAAATTTTGATTGCTTGGCACTCCTCACATAATGCTTGTTTCATGCAACTCATCACCATTCAGTGTGAAATACAGCTGCATTCACATGAATTGCTGTTGTGTTTATATATAATGATTTTCTGATGGTGGGTGTATATTTGAGAAATATGTTCATATTGTATACTGTATGTGTATTTTCTCAGTGTGACGTTACAGAAATAACACTGCACATACACACATACAAGGCACATAAGGTAACAGTGGGTGTAGTACAGAGGTCCATGGAGAACAGACTGCAGAGGATTTGCAATGTCATAGCTTTGTGTGCAGCATTGTATAGTGTAATAAGATAGCACAGACGGAAACAATAAGCCTATTGTGCAAATGATATATTGGTTAATATTAGATTTAAGCTATCGCGATGTCCTTCATTGGTTTGTGGAGTTGTGTTTTGAAGCCTCGAGTTTGGCATTATGGCACCACCATGACATTGTGTTGGAGCCAGTGGAGGTGACGTACTGTGAGTTGAGCTGCTCTCATTGGCTGCGCAGTTTGTCCGTAGCAGGAAACAATGGCGGCTCGCCTGGTCACACACAATCTCGTATTCCAGATAAACAGTAAATTAAACTAAAGCTGAAACAATGTAAGGAGAGAAATAGTCAACACAGTAACAGAATCTGGATCATATCTGATCAGCACTGCCTAGTTTGACAGTTTGATCTGAGTTTGGTGCGTTGAGCTGGACAGACTCACTGAGAATGAGCTGTCAATCACAAGGTAGCCACGCCCTAAAGCATAAGTGGTAGTGTTTCTACCACCTCGTTTCACTGATGTCAAGGGGAATCCTACCTGGTGGCAGAAAGAGACAGTCTTTTCACTGATGGTCTGTTGGACATATAGAGACATATGAAAACTTGAGCTTCTTCAGTTCGACTGCAGTAAGCCTAGTCAACGTCACCAGCTGCCCTGTGAAGGGTGTGAAGGCACCTCTGTGCTCTTCAGACTACTCAAACCTCTCATTTGATGAATTCACAGTGAACAGTGTTTAAGCAGCCATCACACAGCTGAAAATACCCACCAAAATATGACTTCACTTCTACCCAGAACACTGTAGGAACCACCTAAATCCAAACAATATCACCATGCAACGAGCAGCACACACAGTGACGTTATTGTGTACATATTCAACCACAGCTAAAACAGACTGCTCCACTGTGTGCTTCCAAGAGGGAAAAAGTCATGCTCTTTTCAAACATAGATAAATTTTCAAGACCTTTTAACATTTTTACATTCCCTATTGTCTAGTGTAAGAGAAATAATTTAAACCCCATTCCTTCTGGTTCACCTTTAAAAGCGTGCTGTGCTGTGCAGATTTTTTACTATATATTCCCAGTAGGAGGTGAGGCTGGAGCTAAGAGGGAAATGTTCCCTGTGTGAGCATTTAACTCTGAATGCCGAGAGCTGCTTCAGAGATGCTGCACTATTTATGGCGAGGGAGTGAAGAGAGAGCACGGGGGTCGGGGATGTGACATTCCTGTACTGCCAGGACTCGAATGCAGAGCAGAGTGAGAAATGGAGTTTAGAGGCATGAGTCTGAAGTGAACGTACTGATTCCAGCCCTCACTTGTTTCTCTTTGGTATCGGCAGATAAATGATGTTAATATGCAGTCAGTTATTTATATAATGATGCAAGTCACATTGTTTCATGGTTTATAAGTAAATACAGTGGATGCAGTAAATAGTTGGGTGTGGCTGAGGAGGGTTTAGGCAGAAGTTTTTATTTAAAAGAAAATTAAGTAAACATCCAAACCACGCAAAAAATCTATGTATATGGGTATTTACTTTGATGTGTTGTTGATTCAGGTCCAAATCTCGGCATTTAAGTGCTAAGTATTTGAATTCTAAATATTGTGCTACCGTCCTCTACTGGTGGAAACCGGCTATTACAATTGTATTTTGCTATTGGCTGATCTAGAGGCTGGTGATGTATGTGGTGGCAGCTTTTGTCACCAACAACCCTATGTCCTATAAAACCAATGTCTCGACTCTATAGGCGGTAGCCTGAAAGTCTACCACAAACTCGGGTTAGCCTCTTTGAGCCGCTAGCTTGAAACACAGGTACCACACAGAAACCTTTACAGAAACCTGTGAGTGTGCTTCTAGTGACTATCAAAGCTCCAGTGGACTCTGTTTCCAGTGTGTAGGATTTAGTGGCATCTAGCAGTGAAGTGTTTGGTTTGTCTGATCTGTGCTACTGTAGAAACATGGCGGTTCAACGCGTACTCTGTAGAAGAGGACCAGTTTCCTCTGTAGATAGAAACATCTCCATTTAAGGTAACTAAAACTTATCTATTCTTATTTTCAGGTGATGATACACTAATGAAAACATATCTATGAATATTATATTCCATTTTTGACAATAGATCCTCCTCAATGTTACACACCTTTAAATCACATGTCCACTATCATAAAATATTGTGGTTGGTCTGCTTTGCTTTCACACCACAAATGGACCATGCCAGGTCACTCAAATCAGTGCATGTTCCTGTGAGGAGGATTATGTTGTATGAACTGCTCAACAACATGACCTGTGGGCTCGACAAGAGCTTGCTGATTCCTCGCTGACACCAGACAAATATCTAGCAAGCTAAATATCTGGTCGTGTCGGAGGCGACAGGGGGAACCCAGCAAGGAACTGTAACCAGTGAGGGCAGACGCTGGTAGCCTCTCTTTCCATCACCAGAAAGGACGCAGCAAACCTGTAGTTACTTTGGTAACAGTCACAAAAAACTCAATTACCAACACACACATAATGCTCGTATTTCTAGAGTTACATGTTGTGGAGGTGGGTGTGGTTTACACTCTGCACACCTCTCCTGCAGGAGGGAGAGGCGTGGGGAGGGAGGCCTGTGAGGGCAGCACCAGGTGAGTTGATGATCTCAGCTGGTACTCATTGAGTAATCACACTCACCTCTCTTAATGCAGTAGTGGGCTGGACCTGGGTTGGCTGTCACAGACAAATGAGAAAGGACTTTTGTAGCTAATTGTGCGGGCCTTTTAAAGAGTGCTCTAAAAGCCTCTGAGCAGCCAGAAAGCTGAGTTTGTATGTGTTGACGGTGTGTGCAGCCGAAAGAGAGTAAAAGTTGTGTTGACTAACTAACCTGTGATGCTTTCTTGTGTGCTGGGAACCCACAGTAGTAGAGAGACTTGCTACACATGTTTTTACAGACACATTAGGAATGGTTAAAATGTGATATTTCTTGAAAGAGTTTGGCACAGAGAGCTTTTAGTTGAATTCAAACTGCAAATATGTGTAATTTGTAACATTTTGTCACTACTACATAAACACTAGGTAAATTAAATGGTGTTAGTTATTAGTTTGATAAATGTTTTAATAATGAACAAACGGAACCGATGGGCTAACACACCGGATTTTGTGTAAACGACACCATAGAGGTTAGATGTGAGGGCACATGCCAAAATGTAATTTAGAGACAGATTGAGGAGAAAATAATAGGGGGAAATCAGTGACTAGAGCTCAGGAGAGCCAGACAGCTTCCTGACAGTATGGGTTAATGACTGACAGACATGTGTCTTGAAGGGTAG